TAACACATGGTCAATTTTGGAAAATGTTCCATGAGCACTGGAGAAGAATGTATATTGTGCTGTAGTTGGATTGAATACATCTATAAGGTCAAGTTGGCTGATTGTGTTGTTTAGTTCCTCTGTAACTTTGTCAAGTTTCTTTCTGGTTGCTCTGTTCCTTTTCGAGAGTGGCATGTTAAAATCTCCCACTATAACCGTAGATTTATCTATTTGTTTCTTCACATCTAGTAAGGTTTGCTCCATGTATCTTGGTGCTCTTTCATTGGGAGTGTAGATATTTACTATGGTTATGTCGTCTTGCTCAATTGACCCTTTGATCATGAGATAGTGTCCTTCTTTGTCTCTTATGCCTGTTTTTATCTTAAAGTTTACTTTGTTGGAGATTAGTAGTGCCATTCAAGCTTGTTTATTGTTGCAGTTAACTTGGTAGATTTTTCCATCCTTTAACTTTTAGTCTGTTTTTATCTTTGTGGGTAAAGTGTGTCTCTTGCAAGCAGCATATTGAAGGGTCTTATTTTCTTATCCTTTCTGCCACTCTCTGTCTTTTCACTGGTGCATTCAACCCATTGACATTCAATGTAATTATCGATAGGTATGAATTAATTGCTTCCATTATGTTACTTTTTTGGTAGTGCTGTTCGTTATTTGGTTCTGCGTGCCTTATTGTGTTGGGTTTGTGTTTTTTGTGCTATTATTTGTCAGTTTCTTTTTAGTTTTCATGTTTGCTTGTTCTGCTTGGAAGTTCATTTTCATGGTAAGTTGTGAAGTTTTAACTTTCTTTGGGGTTGCCTTATAGTTTTTCTCTCCATTTAAGTGAATCCATTGTATCCTGTAATTTACCTGACATCCTCACCACCTTGGTCTCTGTTACTACGTTTGTCCCTTCTTTGACTTTGATATAATTTTGATCTTCAGTTGACCTCCCAGATCCTTTGAGTTTGTTGTTATAATCTTGTTCTGTTCTGGACTCTGCTATCTGTTGACTGAGATCCAGGTGGTGTTGCCGCGTCTGTCAATCACTGCTTATTGTCTATTCTTGTTGGTTTTCAGTCCACAGAACTCCCTTTAGGATGTTTTGAAGTGCTGGGTTGGTTTTGATAAAATCTCTCAGATTCTGTTTATCATGGAATGTCTTGATTTGCACCATTATAGTTGATTGATAGTTTTGCTGGATAGACAATTCTTGGTTGACAGTTTTGTTTTTTGTTTTTTTGTTTTTTCTTGTAGGGCTTTGTATATGTCTCCCCATTACCTTCTTGCCTGCATGGTTTGTTCTGAATAGTCAGAGCTTAATCTGATTTGCTTGCCTTTAAAAGTGACATTTCTCTTCTCCCTGGCCACTTCTAGCATTCTTTGTCTTTGATTTTGGAAAGCCTGATTATTATGTCTTGGTGACTTTCTTTTGGGGTCTGTCCTTCCTGGGGTATGTTCAGCTTCTTGAATGTTTATCTTCTCATCTTTCAAGATGTTAGGGAAATTTTCTTCCAGAAACTCTTCAACTATTTCCTCTGTAGACTTCTCTGATTCTTCCTGTTCCAGAATGCCAATAATTCTTATGTTGTTCCTCTTCATGTTATCCAGCATGAATCTTAGACTCTCTTCATATTTTTTTACCCTTTTCTCTGTTTGTTCTTCTCTCTTAGCAGTATTGAGAGATTTGTCTTCCAGCTCACTAGTTCTGGCTTCCATCTTTTCTATTCTGCTCCTTTCCCCTTTCAGTGTATTGTCCATTTCTGGTATCTTATTATTAATCATCTGGACATCTTTTTGCAGGTTTTGAATTGTTTCCAATGCTGTATCAATCTTATTTGATTGCTCCTGTAGTACTTTCCTGACTTCTTCCTTATTTTCCTCCACCCTTCTTCAGAGCATTTGAATTTGTTTCCATATCATTCTTTCTCAGACATATCCAAAAACCTGCTCTTCCTCCTCTAGAAAGACTTTGTCTCCAGCTCATTTGTCTCAGCTACTTTCTTCTGTTTTTTGGACATGTTTCTATATCATTTGTTGTTTTTTGTTCATCATTTCTGATAGTTATGTATTTTGTTTGTTTTTTAAAGCTTGAGTGGAAGTTTGTTGTTTGTTGTTAAGCTTACTGGGTGTCTCCTGGTGAATATGATCAGGAGATTGGCTTCCCTTTTCACATGTAATGTTTAGCAGATGTTGTTGGCTCTTGTCTCGGTGATGGAATGTCATGGGGTATGCTCATAGCTTGGGTATATGGCCACAATTGCTGTCTCCTCTTAGGTAATGTAGGGAGAAAAAGCTGCCACCTCCAGGAAATATGTGTGATCAAAAGGACCAAAAGTGGAAGTAATATAAATGCAGAGACAAGAACCACCACTTTGGAACAGAAATGAAGCTGTGGTCGACTGTCCCAAGCTACTCAGGCAGTGTGTGTGCAAGGTAGAAGCCTCCAACAGTTGGTGAGGGTGTCCACTCTCTCAGGCCCCTCCTCTAGTCACTATAGTTGAGGTGTGCAGGTAGATATTAAGAAGTTAATGGGACAAAGATTGTCCACTATTTTTGTCTCTGAAGATCAGTTAGGTATCTGCGTGTGCACAGCACAATTGTCGATATGATTGAGTCCTTTTATGTTGGGGTTTTACAGATTGATTTATATGGGTCTTGCGCAGGGAGCCCAGGTAATACAGTGGCCACAAATGTGGTAGTGAGCCACAAGGTCAGCAACTTGAAACCACCAGCTGCACTGCAGGAGAAAGGCAAGGCACTCTGCTCCCGCAAAGACCCACAGCCCCAGAAACCCCACACAGGGTCACCTGGAGTTGGAACCGACTCCACGGCAGACAGCCACCAAGGGTCCCACAGGAGAAAATTTTAGGGCTGTGTCTCCGTGGCTGTTTCATAATCACCGCCATAGGAAAACTGTCCCACCTGATGTTGTCTGGGCTGAGCAAGGAAGGCAGGACAGCTAAAAAGAGGGAGGAATGTGTAGTCTCCCGCTGCCACTTTTTATTTGCAAATGTCTCTGCACCACTTTTAGCACCAACTTTTTGAGCTGGACTGGCTATAGCCCTGCCCTCTAAACTCTGCCAGAGCAGGTTGGCCACAGAGATAGTCCCATCTCCAGATTCCTAACTTGCAGCATTTTCCTTAATATCATGATTTTTTTTCACTTGCGGTTGCGAGAAACTGATGTCCTGAACCTTATGGTAGATCTGGAGCTCTGGAGTTGTTCTCTGAGCACTTCCTGCATGAGATACCAGTCCCTCTAGCATGGAGAGTTCCCTACCTGACTTTCTCCACTGCCGCCAAAACTGGAAGTCCTCATGGCCTCCAAATATGTTGTTGAAAATATTTTACAGTAAAATTCACAATGAAGTTGAGATGCCCATGATTGAATTTAATGAGATTAGTCCAAGTAAGTCTAAGACTCAAAGAACACCTTAAAGTGGAACATGACACATATTTGGAATAATATAATACAAAGAGTACTTAGAGTCCTAGTGTGGCTCTGTAAGATAAGCAGTGAATTGCCAACTACAAGACTGTTGGTTCAAACACACTAGAAACTCCTTGGAAACCCAATATAGGATTGTTATGAGTCAGAACCAACTCAACAGCACTTAACAACAACATAATACAAAGAATTTTCTAGTTGGTCTCTTTCCCTTGGTTTCCTCAATCCAAAAGAAACACACATGCATATATACTAACAGTATCCTTCATTTTCTGAAGTATAAGTCATTTGACTGTTTTTTAACTCTTTAAGGTTTTCCTTCATCCCACCTTGTAAAAATAAAAGATTGATGCCTTTTATTCTGAATATTTGTTTTCTCTTTCCTTTATTGAAGACAAAATCCTAGAGGATGAATCTGATCAATAACTTAAATAATGAAGCAGAATGGTAGGTCATCTTCAGAGTCCATCCAGTAATTCAACATAGATAGCACAATGGTCAGTTGTGAGTTAGAGTAAGAGGTAGGACACCAGGTAATCTATCTTGAGATAGCAAACAAAACTTGGAAGTCTTGGATATAAGTCAATATGCCCGTGAAAACCTGAAGAGCTATATGTCAGAATCAGAAGAAATATCAACCTCATAGAGGAGGGAGTTGAGGGACCTGAACCTTATGGAGAATTGCTAATTATCTCTGGCTCCATATTCCCCCAGCCAAAATAACCCAATGCCATTGAGTTGATTCTGACTCATAGCAACTCTTTCGGACAAATTAGAAATACCACATAGGGTTTCCAGTGTTGTAATCTTTACAGAAGTCCACTGCCACATCTTTCCCCTATGAAACAGCAGGTAGGGTTGAACTGCAAACCAGTAGGTAGCAACTGAGTATTTAACCACTGTATCACCAAGACTCACTCAGCTTTCCTCAGATCTTAAAACTGAATTTTGGAGAAAAAAAGAAACATCACAATGTTATGACTTACTTTTGCTCCTAATGTCTAGGAAATGGGTCATAACTCAGTGGGGTATGTCCTAATCATCTTCTGAGTCACATGCCAGTGATCCCATTACACAGGTAGTACTCATACATTCAAACCTCCTTTACCCACCTTACCCTCAATGAGTGAGCCATCAGATTAAAACATTGCTTTATCCTCCTTGATCACCAAAAAGAATCATGGGCCTATGTGAAGCACTGTAACCAAATGTAGACATGATGGGCCATGTAAAGTGTGACTGACACATATAGAGACAGAATGTCATGTGACAATTCTCTTGGAGGAAACCAAAGCAAGATACAAACGAGGTGAATGAGGAAGAGGTGGTGGGATGAATCCTCCACATCAGGAAAAGAAACCATGTTTTCCATCCATCTTGAAAGATTTATCCAGGAAAACAAACTTTCCTAATTTGATAATTACCTATTGATTAGGAGAAACAATAACAAGGAAGAGTACTGCACCTGAGCACAGCAGCCCTTAGTAGGGTATAAAAGGGAACACGGGGTGAGGAGACTTCCAAACTCAAGAACCTCACTCTCCTGGAAACACACCCAGAACCTCCACCCTCTGACACCATGGTCAACTCCTGTTGTGGCTCCGTCTGCTCTGACCAGGGCTGTGGTCAAGGCCAGGAGAACTGCTGCAGCCCCGGCTGCTGCCAGCCCATCTGCTGCCGCCCCAGCTGCTGTGTGTCCAGCTGCTGCAGACCCCAGTGCTGCCAGTCTGTGTGCTGCCAGCCTACCTGTTGCCGCCCTAGCTGCTGTGTGTCCAGCTGTTGTAGGCCTAGCTGCTGTGTGTCCAGCTGTTGCCGTCCCAGCTGCTGTGTGTCCAGCTGTTGCAGGCCCCAGTGCTCCCAGTCTGTGTGCTGCCAGCCCACATGCTGTCGCCCCAGTTGTTGTGTGTCTAGTTGCTGCCGCCCCAGTTGCTGTGTGTCCAGCTGCTGCAGACCTCAATGCTGCCAGTCTGTGTGCTGTCAGCCTACCTGCTGTAGACCCAGCTGTTGTGTGTCCAGCTGCTGCAGGCCCCAGTGCTGCCAGCCCAGCTGCTGCATCTCCAGTTGCTGCCGCCCTTCCTGCTGTGGGCCAAGCTGCTGCAGACCCACCTGCTGTGTATCCAGCTGCTGCCGCCCAGTCTGCTGCCAGACCACCTGCTGCCGCCCCAGCTGTTGTCAGACCACCTGCTGCCGCCCAACCTGCTCTAGTTTGTCTTGCTGCTGAGCACTCTGACCTGCATCCACCTGTTTTCACCAACGAATCTTGATGTGGTCCATCCATAAGCTGAGTCATGTGTGGTCAATTGCAAAATCTCAGTTCCACTGGTTCTCAGACTCAGTTTGGCCTCTGTCCCATCTCCCTGCCCTGACATTACAATCTCTCTTCCCAGTCAACACAAAATTTGAACTTTCTCTGAAACCTGCCAACTAACAAGTCACTGCAATTGCAGCATTTGTTCCCTGCCAAGTTTTCTTCTGCCTCTTTAATAAATCATAGTTTTCAAGTTATAGAAATTGAAGTGCATCATGTCTCATTATTTTTTTCTCCTTGAATTGGCATCCTCAGCTGCCAGATGTTCTCTTGTTCTTCTCTTCAAGACTGTAGCAGGTGACTGCAGTGGTCTCACCTCTATTTGCTCAGAACTCTCCATTCTGGTACAGAAATCTGCTTTTTTACTACAAGCACTTGGGACTTTGTCTGAGGACTTTCTCTACAAAAAGGAGTAAGTTCTGGACAGGTCAATGTGGGAGCATTCAAGCCTTGATAAATGGGAGTTTGTGGATGCATGCCCTAGCTTCTCCCCTCCTGAGAGAGGTATTTTTCCACAAGACCCTCATGGGAACAAGTCTCAGCATCTTACAGGAACCATCTGCTCATTACTACCAGTTGTTAGCCATGTGGGTTAAAGTAAAATTGTACTCCTTAGGGTTCTCAGTGATTGGTGATTTTGGGGGGGTGGCGCAGGGGGAGTAGATCTTCACGCCATCCTTCCTGAATCTCTGAACAGCTTTGAAACTCCAGTCTTTTAAATAGTTGCTGAGTGACTTCACCACTCAGAGATTCCACTCTGCTCATCAGTTCACCCTGAGTTTGTTGCCTTTTACACCACTTCTTCCTCCCTGCCCTGTATCACTTCCCAAGTGTCCTGCAGCTCTTATTGGGACTATATCCCACATAAACTACTTTTCTCAAACCCCCTTTTCTTGTCTTGCTCCTGTGAGAACGCAAAAATTGCAAATCTCATTATCAGTGCCATTCAAAAACACTTTTCACACACACACACAAAGAGGGAATATAAGCAAATACTGTAAACCAATGATGCATGGAGAGGATTGTAACCATTGCAATGAAACAAAATATGATAGCTTGAATGTAAGACTGATGTTCTCCCATGTAAAGTATCACTCAATTCACAATAAAAGGTTTAAAAACAAAACAAAAACACTTTTCACACAATATGAATGGTCATGGTGGCATGGTCAGCCCTTACTTAATAAGTTTACTGCCAACCAAAATATTACATATTTTCATTATTTTACTATTTAGACTATTTTTTTAACAGTTGTTTTTAAACTAGTAGTCCTTAATATATCTCCCCCACAATATAAACGAGGGACACACTTCCATGAGTAATGTTGCTCATCATGTTATCAACTCTCATCATGAAAGAGGCTGTATTTAAGGGACTATCACCCTAAGCTGTGTGTCGTAAGTTGAAGTCACTATAAGCAGAGCCTAAGACTTGGATTTTTGTGTAATGATTTATTAAGAGAGTGATGTCAGAGTAAGCAGATGCACTGAGTTGACCTTCTGTAACAAAGACACGGGAAATTTAATGAAACAGATGTTGATGGCTATCCTGGAATCCTGAACATCAGAGGACAGGACAGAGCATGGATTGAATGCTTACCAGAAGAGGAAGCAGAACAGGAGCAATCAGAGAGAAGAAAAATTAGTGGACTGTGGGTTGCAGTTGCTCAACTCTCTTGAACTTTTGGGAGCAGCTGTTGATACAGTGGCCTTAAAGCATAGGACACAATAGAGGTCGGTGGCAATGAGGTTCAAGTCTCCCTTTTTCCTCTGCTCTCCTGGTAGCTCAGGGGAGGGTGGCCTGTCCCTACCTTTGCCAAGCTAGAGTACAACCACAACTCCTCCTTGGCAGTCTTTGCTCTGCCTGGGGTCAGGTGCCTGGCATATCACCCTGCTTCTGGAAGTACGTGAGCACGCCCTGAACTATGCTACACAGTTAACAGAGAACTAACTGCATTCACAATTCCTATCTCTACCGCATCTACCAGGAGACAGGTGCTGAGTGTCTGAGAATACATCAATATACAACTACCAACTAAATGTAAGTGTGACACCAGAATTTCTCAGACAAAACAGACATTACAGCTTATATGACAAAATAAGACAGTGTCTCAAAAAAGTGACCAAAATATAGATTCAGAAAATATAATATCAGATATGGTATCAGAACCAGATAAGGAATTTTAAAGAATGCTAATTAGGTAACTGAAACAGTTTGTAAAAAAGACTTCAAAAAAACCACACATAGAATCAAGGAAAACTCAGATAGAACTATGGAAAATTGAAAAAAAATGGGAACCATATAAAAACAGTAATTGGAAAGCCAGAAGATTTCACACTTAAGAATTTAGAAACAGATAATACACTGAAAGGGCGAAGACATAGAATTGAATGAATGGAAAGTCAGATTACTAAGCCTGAGGAAACATCTCTCTCTATTCATCAGTTCGATACTATGTACTGTCAGTTATGTACTGTGGTGGCTTGCGTGTTGCTGTGAAGCTGGAGGCTATACCACCAATATTTTAAATGTAAGCAGACTCACCCATGGTGGATGGGTTTCAGCTGAGCTTACAGACTAACACAGACCAGGAAGAAAAAGAGTCAGACTAATTTTGAATGTTTGCTGCTGTTGTTGTGAAGTGTTGAGTTGGTTTCCACTCATAGAGACACTGTATATGGTTTCTGAGGAGTGCTTATCCTACAGTGCCATACCAATGAAAGCCTTATGAATAGTAATGGAACACTGTTAAATAACACTAACATATTGAATATTGCAACATGAGTAGCACCAAAATATTGTCAGATATAGTGCCAAAAGTTGAGTCCCTCAGGAAAGATGGCACTTAAAACAGGACTGGGGAAGAGCTGCCTCCACCATGGCGATGAAACGATATATGATAGGATGAATGTAAAGCTAATGTTCTCCCATGTAAACTAACACATAATTCACAATAAATCATTAAAATATATATAAAAATGCTGGGATCTCACCCAAGTCTGCTAAATTTAAATCTATGAGAGTGAAAAAGGAAAAAAACAAGATGCCTCAGTTGAGTTTTGGCACATCATCAAAGGCTTAGTCTTTCCAAGACAGCTTCTCATGTGTCTCTTTCTCTTTGTTCTGTAAATATTCAGTTGCCCAATAGACATTTTGCAACTGCTACAAGGCATGAAAAGGAAACAAAAAAGACCCCAAAGGAAAAACATGAGATAAAAAAAATAAAGTCATACTGCTATATGAAAGGTGAACCTGAAGATGTTGTCTATTTAAAAAGATTGTGCCCAAGGCAGATATATGATGTGGAGAAAGCTATTCACTACTTAAGAAATTTCAAATTATGGGCTTCACTTATCCAAAGCAAGGTGTTTATCTTTATTTGACATTGGATATGTCACTGCAAAATAAGAAAAAAGTGGAGCCATTTGCCAGTGTCCTTAGTCTTCCATACCCATTCACTTCAGAAATCAATAAAGTTGCTGTAGTCACTGGGAATGCATCAGAGATCTAAAAGTGTCCAGCTGATAAGAAGAGAGGGCATATGCATAAGAACACCCATACTTGCAGATAATATCCACTTGACCTGACTTCAATGACTGGATGATCAGAGCTCAACTAGAAGAAGAAAGAAGTGGAAAAAAAGAGTGATCTGATACAATTTGATGAACTTGACCTACACCTATGGATGCAGTAGCTCAAAAGAGGGAACAAATCTTTACAGCACGGATCATTCCCACCCCCTCCACACACAGAGTAGACAGCGATGGGCAACTTGGACATTGGCTACCCAAAATGGGGGGTGGGGGGTGGGCTACAACGGCAAGAAGTGACTGGCTTACAAGCTTTCAGGAGGGAATCTAGATCCAGAGGGCATGGAGGAAGGTAGACTCTCCACTGAGTAGTATCCAATGTGTCTGGGCGGGGCAGATGAAGGGAGATGCAGATATGTCTCCTGTGATACAATAGTGAATAATTGTTATCAGGACTGATTATGAGAGTTGTAAATGTAAAGGTAGAAGTTTTGTAGCAAAAGGAGGGAGTGATTGACTTTGCAGTCTAGAAGCGGAGGTCCCTAGGACCATCAAGGGAGAAGAGTAGAGTGTGAGACCCTACCCAGGAAGCATTGACACCAGAGATGGAGGCAGAGACGATGACGTGGAGAAATGGAGCGGCTGGAGATTTTAGACCCAGAGAAGGAGAGGGGCTGTGTGCTGACGACCGGGAGTAGGTTTGCGTTGGTTGATGATGCATGGAAGGGTTAGTAACCATGTCAATGAAACGATATACAATAGGATTAGTGTAAAGCTAAAGTTCTATGGTAGCGTAGTGGTTACGAATCAGGCTGCTAACCTGAAGGTCTGCAGTTCGAAACTACCAGGGGTTCTGTGGGCGAAAGATGAGGCGTTCTGCTCCCGTAAAGATTTATAGCCTCAGAAACCCTGTGCAGGGTCACTATGAGTCGGAACCGACTCCACGGTACTTAACAACAACAACAGCAAAGTTCTTCCATGTAAACTATCACATAATTCACAATAAAATAAAATTTTTTAAAAAACCTTCAAAGACGACTATACACAAGAGTCCCGGTGTGGTGCTGTGGGTTAATGCGCCAGACTGCAAAGCCGTTTGAACTGCAAGGTGGGTGGTTCAAACTTACCAGCGACTCCTCCAAAACGCTATACAGGGTCGCTATGGGTCAGAACCAACTCGATGGCACTTAACAACAACAATAATACACATGGAGCTCATCAGATGACATATACAGAAATCAAACTGACTACATTTGTGGGAAGAAATGTTGAAAAAGCTCCATATCATGGATCAAAACCAGGGAAGGGACAGACTGCAAAATAGACCACCGATTGTTCATATGCAAGTTCAAGCTGGAAATGAAGAAAATGAAAATAAGTCCACAAGAGCCAAAATATTACCTTCATCATACCCCTCCTGAATTTAGAGATGATCTCTAGAAGATTTGATACCTTAGATATTAATGATTCAAGGCAGTACGAGCTGTGGAATAACATCAAGAAAATCATATAGGAAGAAAGCAAAAGGTCAGCTGGTCTATCTGTCTTTCTTTCACACACAGCAAGTGTGTGTGAATTCCCAAACTTTCAGTTAGGACCCATTTGATCTAACTTGGGTGGCTAGTTGATCAGAACTAGAACCAACGAAGATAAAGATGTTTGATACTGAGAACAAGTGCAAATTACTACAATTTGATGAACTAGACTTTTGCCTATTAATGCAGTGACTCAAAATTCCAACCAGAATTGAAATTATTGAAAAATATCATTAACATCATATGAAAAAGAAAATTTTCTGAATATAATTAAAAAACATTTACAGCAGGGAGTTTCCAGAAATTCATTCTGGATTCAGAAGAGGATGTGGAATGGAGGATCTCATTGTTGATACCAGATGGATCTTGGCTGAAAGCAGAGACTAGCAGAAAGATTCTTAATGGTGCTTTACTGACTGTGCAACGGCATTTGACTGTGTGGGTCAACAAAGAATGGATAATATTGAAAAGAATGGGAATTCCAGAACACTTATTTGTACTCATGGGGAACCTGTACCTAGACCATGAGACAGTCATTCAAACAGAACAAGAGATACTACGTGATTTACATTCAGGAAGAGTGTGTATCAGGATTGTGTTTTTTCATCATATTTATTTAATCAGTATGCTGAGAAAATAATACAAGAATATGGATTATATGAAGATGAATGGGGAATTAGGACTGGAGGAAGGCACATTAACAACCTGTGATATGCAGATGACACAATCTTGCTTGCTGAAAGCAAAGAGGACATGAAGCATTTACTGATGAAGATCAGAAAGTACAGCCTTCAATATGGATTACAAAGCAATGTAAAGAATAAAAAAATCATCGCAACTGAGCCAATAATCATCATGACAAATGGAGAAAAACTGAAATTGTCAAGAACTTCATTTTACTTGGCTCCTTAATTAACACAGAAATCAAGAAACAAAATGACATAGTATATTAACCAAATTTGCTGCAAAAGATCTCTTTAAAGTGTTAAGGAGTAACAGTGTCACTTTGAGGATTAATGTGCACTTGACCCAAGCCATAGTGCATTCAGTCACCTCATATGCATGTGAAAACTGGACAATGAATAAGAAAGACCAGAGAAGAATCAATGCCTTCGAATTTTAGTGTTGATAAAGAAAATTATCATGGATTGCCAGAAGAATGAACAAGTCTGTCTAAGAAGTACAGCCGGAATGTTTCTTAGAAGTAAGGATTGCAAGATTTTGTCTCATTTATTTTGGACATGTTATCATGAGGGACCAGTCCCTGGAGAAGGGCATCATGTTTGGTAAAGTGGACAGTCAGTGACAAAGAGGAAGGCCCTCAACAAGATGGAATGGCATAGTGACTCCAATGATGATCTCAAAGATAAGAATTGTGAGGATGGCAAAGGACTGGGTAGTGTTTTGCTCTATTGTTCTGTTGCTATGAGTTGGAACAGACTCAATGGTTCCTAACAACAACAATAATTAACACATTTAAGGATGCCATCATAGGGTGACCAACTCATCTCTGTCGACCTTTTCTTTTGTGATTTTTGCACTGAAAGTCCCATGCTCTGGGAACTCCTCATCAACCTTGGCTAAACAGGGATGGTTCGTCATCTTAACATGAAAATAGTTGGTCATAGTTAAAAGGAAGCTGTGGTAATTCATTACATAATTATAAATGAACTAGTAATACACACATCAGTGCTGGTGATTCTCACACCAGACAAATGCCAAGCTAAAGATGCCAGACAGAAAAGAAATTATATTGTGTATTTCCATTCATTTGAAGTTCTAGATCAAACACAACTAGTCTATTGTGAAGAAATGTTACAGAAGTAGTTGCCTCTATGGTAATGGAGAGTTTACTGAAGTGACAAGTGGGAACTTTCTGGTGTTGTGGGACTAGTCTTCAGCTTTACAGGTGTGGGGAGCATATGTATTTGTGCATTTTATGAAAGTAAATTTTATCCAAATTGTAAAATAAAAGTAAAAACAAGATAAAACAAAGAGCACAGTAATCAGAGCTGTTTATTTAGGAATAAATCTATATACTCCCACTAAATCATCATGCTGACTCATTCACTTTAAGCATGATTCTTGTAAATTACACTGCTATGGGTCCCTTTGATGCTGCCTTGCCATACTGTATTCTAATTGTGTGTGTGTGTGGCCTTCCCAATAAACTGTGAATTTCCCAGGAATTAAATTCTAGATCACATCTGTATCCTGAGTGACTTTCAATGGATGCCTTTCAGCTATGTACTCCCCAAGTCTCTCTCTCTCTTTTTTTTTTAGGTTCAGACACAGAAAAAAAATTTTTTTTTTCTTGTACTGACATCATTGCAAGATTTTTCAGTGTTAAAAAATTCACTTTCAAGGACAAGCAGACCAGCCTAGAGAGTACAGAAGAACAGAAGATACTTCTTGAAAGAAAGACCAGCAGGAAAAATCAAAAACAATAACAGCAGTCTGAGTGACTACTACTAGAACAATCAAGTTGTTCCCAAGGAGCCATTAAGGCAAGTGGTCAGGTCGCCTCAGGGCAAACCGCCTTCCAAGACTGAGACTCAAAGGGAATACAGGAGAAGGCATGTGGTCTTGCTGGTGACCATGTTGGTTTACCAATAAGGGGAAGTGGGAGAAAAACAGCAATGAAGTTGTGAGCTAAGTCCGACCACGTTCAATAGACTCCTGTCAACCTGGGTTGAGATCTGGTTGGCCAGCAGTATGGCAAGACCTGGGTGGGGACTCTTGGGCCCAGGGACAGAGACATGGCCACAGAGGACTAGAGTGGAGAGTGAAGCATCCAGCTGATATCAAGTGAGGGGAGATACACAAGAACACCCATACTTAAAGATAGTACCCATTTGTCCTGGTTTCAATGGCTGGATGATCAGAACTCGACTAGAGGAAGCAAGAAGAGGTAAATAAGAGTAATCCACTACAATTTGATGAACTTGACCTATACTTATGGATGTAGTAGCTCAAAAGAGGGAGCAAATCTTTACGGCAAGGATCATTCCCAACCCCTCTGTACATAAGGTTGACAGGGATGGGCAACTTAGACATTGGCTACCCAAACTTGGGGGTGGGGGCGGAAGGGGGAGGGAGCCTACAAAGGCAAGAAGTGACTAGCTTACAAGCTTTCAAGTTTTCAAGAGGGAGTCTAGTTTCAGAGGATGTGGGGGAAGGTAGAATCTCCACTGAGTGGTTTCCAACTTGTCTATACAGGGCCGGTGAAATGAGATGGGGATAAGACTCTTGTGGTTCAATAGTGAATAATTGCTATCAGGACTGACTGTGAGTGTTGCAAATGTAAAGGCAGCCATTTTGTAATAAAAGGAGGGGAGTAGTTGATCTTGAAGTCCAGAAGCAGAGGATCCTGGGACCATCAAGGGAGAAGAGCGGAGTGCAGGACCCTATCCAAAGAAGCAGTGACGCCAGAGAAGGAGGCAGAGAGAATGACGTGGAGAGATGGAGAAGCTGGAGACTCTGGACTCAGGGAGGGAGAGGGGCTATGCACTGATGGCTGGGAGGCAGGCTTGCAGGGTGTACCTTTTGGTTGTTTGAATAGTTATATATTCCTGAGTGCTTTGATGTACATCTAAAGGGGGGGAAAAAAAAAAAAAGAGGGAATGATGGAAGCAAATGCTGTTGAATGATTATGCATGGAGGGGATTGTAATCATTGCAATGAAACGAAATACGATAGGATGAATGTAAAGCTGATGTTCTCCCATGTAAACTATCACTCAATTCACAAAAAAAAACAAAACAAAAAATTCACTTCCAAGTATAATGATCAAGAAATAGCAAGAAAACACCAAACTGAGAAATTATACAGTTTTGTAATTTTCTCTCTAGTTTCTTAATCCACTGAAAATAATTTCAAAAGCCAATACTTTTAGTCAGCTTCTTTATTAGATTTTTGGGTTTCTGTTCTTTAGGCAACAAAGGATCAATGTTTAGTAGCAAACCTTTACTTGTTGAGCTACAAATGAAAGCACATATTACAAATGGTCCCAAACTCAGCAGTCTGTGCTTACAAACATCATTGATAACAGCTTGCATATTGGCAGCTATCTGGTCACTTGGCATATCCAGTGTTGCTATTTTGATCTGGAGAAAGTTCTCTTTTTCTTCATCTACTTCAATTTCATGTCCAGTTTTGAATAATTCAAGCATTTCGGGGATGTCATGGCCAATAGATTTTCAAACAAGTTTTGGAAATTGTTTTTTTTTTGTTTGTTTGTTTCTTCCTTAGTGGAGTAAGCTCATACATTATTCCTGGAACAGTTACATAAAAGTCTGCATGAATCTCATCAGTCAAAATTTGCTGTATCAGATTAGTTCCTCCTGAAAATGCAGCTCCACTTTCTTCTGCTATTTAGATCTCTGATGCATTCCCAGTGACTACAGCAACTTTATTGATTTCTGAAGTGAATGGGTATGGAAAACTAAGGACACTGGTAAATGACGCCACCATTCTCTTATTTTGCAGTGACATATCCAATGTCCAATAAAGATAAACACCTTGCTTTGGATAAGTGAAGCCCATAATTTGAAATTTCTTAAGTAGGTGAATAATTTTCTCCACGTCATATATCTGCCTTGGGCACAATCTTTTTAAATAGACAACATCTTCAGGTTCACCTTTCATATAGCAGTATGACTTTATTATTATTTTTTATCTCATGTTTTTCCTTTGGGGTCTTTTTTGTTTCCTTTTCATGCCTTGTAGCAGTTGCAAAATGTCTGTTGGAAAACTGAATATTTACAGACCAAAGAGAAAGAGACGCATGAGAAGCTGTCTTGGAAAGACTAAGCCTTTGATGATGTGTCAAAACTCAACTGAGGCATCTTGTTTTTTTCTTTTTCACTCTCATAGATTTAAATTTAGCAGACTTGGGTGAGACCCCAGCATTTATATGTATATTTTAATGATTTATTGTGAATTATGTGATAGTTTACATGAGAGAACATTAGCTTTACATTCATCCTATCTTATATCGTTTCATCGCCATGGTTACAATCCCCTCTAAGAATCATCAACCAACCAAAGGGTATACCCCGCAAGCCTGCCCCCCACCCCCACCCCGGTCATCAGCACACAACCCCTCTCCCTCTCTAGGTCTAGAGTCCCTGGCCACTCCATCTCTCCACGTCATCGTCTCTGCCTCCATCTCTGGCATCAATGCTTCTCTGGGTAGGGTCTCTCACTCCGCTCTTCTCTCTTGATGATTCCAGACACCTCCATTCCTAGACGGCAAAGTCAATCACTCCCCTCCTTTTGCTACAAAATGTCCACCTTTACATTTCCAACTCTCCCAGTCAATCCTGATAACAATTGTTCATCACCGTACCACAAGGGACCTATCCCCATCTCCTTTCATTAGCCCTGCCCAGACAGTTTGGATACTACTCAGTAGAGATTCTACCTTCCTCCATGTCCTCTGGATCTAGGTTCCCTCTTGAAAGCTTGTAAGCCAGTCATTTCCTGCCTTTGTAGCCCCCCATTTTGGGTAGCCAATGTCCAAGTTGCCCATCCCTGTCTACCTTATGTATCCAGGGGGTGGGAATGATCCTCGCTGTAAAGATTTGTTCCCTCTTTTGAGCTACTGCATCCATAGGTGTAGGTCAAGTTCATCAAATTGTATCAGATTACTCCTTTTTTTCCTCTTCTTTCTTCTTCTAGTTGAGCTCTGATCATCCAGTCATTGAAGCCAGGTCAAGTGAGTATTATCTGCAAGTATGGGTGTTCTTACGTATATGCCCTCTCTTCTTCACTCTCCACTTTAGTGCTCGGTAGCTATGTCACTGACTCTGGGCCCAAGAGACCCCAAGTCTTGTCACACTGCTGGCCAACCAGGTCTTCACCCGGGTTCACAGGAGTCTATTGAACATTGTAGGGCTTAGCTCGCAGATTCATTGCTGTTTTTCCCTCACTTCTCCTTATCAGTGATGAACATTGTCACCAACCAGAGCATGTATTCCCATTGAGTCTTAGTCTTGGAAGGGGTTTGCCCTGAGGGGGACCTGACCACTTGCCTTGATGTCTCCTGGGCGAGCAACTTGCTTGTTCTTTTTTTTTTTAATGCTATTTTTTTCCATTGTGAATTATATGATAGTTTACATGGTAGAATATTAGTTTTATATTCATTCTACCGTAAATTGTTTCATTGCCATGGTTACAATCCTCTCCATGCATCATCAACCAAACAAAGTGTATACCCTACAAGCCTGTCCCCTACACTACTCCCCCAACCCTCAGTCTTCAGCACACAGTCTCTCTCCCTCTCTGGATCTCAAGTCCCCAGCTGTTCCATCGCTCCACGTCATCATCTCTGCCTCCATCTCAGGCATCACTGCTTCTCTGTGTAGGGTCCTGCTCTCGGCTGTTTTCCATTGATGGTCTTAGGAACCTCTGCTTCTAGTTTGGAAAGTTAATCACTCCCTTCCTTGCTATAAAACATCTACCTTTACATTTCCAAAACTCACAATCAGCCCTGATAACAATTATTCAGTATTGTATCACAAGAGACCCATCTGCATTTCATCAGCTCTGCCTAGACAGATTGGATACTACTCACTCGAGATTCTGCCTTCCTCCAGCCCCCTGGCTCTATGTTCCCTCTTGAAAG